CCGACGGCGGGGCGGGTGGGGGGGCTGGGACGGCGGCTGGCCGCCATGGGCCGCCGGGCGCGCGACCGCCGCCGGCAGCAGCAGCAGCAGCAGCGTCAGGAGCGGGGCGACAGCGGCGGCGGCGGCGACCAAGCGGTGAGAGACCGGGCCGGAGCGGGGAGGGGGGGGAGGGGAGGCGGTAGGGCCGCCGAGCTTGACGGTGTCGGTGGGGCTTTCCAGGGCTGGGCCGGTGGCTACCCGGAGATCGTGAAGGAGAACGAGCTGTTCGAGCGGTACTACCGGGAGCTGGGCATCGTCCCCGCCGGCGAGTGGGACGACTTCATGGCGGCGCTGAGGGAGCCGCTGCCCGCCACCCTGCGCATCACCGGCTACCGGAGGTAGGGGGGACCTGGGGGACGGGCGCGGGGCCCCGGGAGGCGAGCAGTGGCCCGGCTGGCAAGTTATTGCCGCGGAGGAGGCCCGGAGGGGTTTGTGTGTGTGTGTGTGTGCGTGTATCTCTCCACACGGTCCTCTTCTGGCTGTCTCTTCTCCCCTGCAGCCACGCCAAAGAGATCCTGCACTGCCTGAAGGAGAAGTACTTCAGAGAGCTGCAGGACCTGGAGGTCGACGGCCAAAAAGTGGAGATGCCGCAGGCGCTGAGCTGGTGGGTGAGGGGGAAGGGAGGCAGCCAACCCTGCGGGTTCCTCCTGGCATCCAGCCCCCCGTGAAGAAGTGCCGGGTTTCATTCTCCTGCCCCTTTCCCCCTTCTCTCCCCCCCAGGTACCCAGAGGAGTTGGCGTGGCACACTAACTTGAGCAGGAAAATCCTACGCAAGTCACCGCAGCTGGAGAAGTTTCATCAGTTTCTGGTTAGCGAGACAGAATGTGTAAGTTTTAAATACATCTTGACTTTTGTTTTTTTATTTAATAGCCCAACCAGCGGTTTATTTAACTGTATTGTGAGAAATTGAGACTGTAACTTTTCTCTTAGAAATTGAGTAGCTCAGAAGAATCTGGATTTTATGTTGCTGTTGAGAGTGATTCATCCTGTGAAGCTGGCACATAACCACAGTCACAGATATTTCTTCTAAATTAATAGCATTTTTTTTGGATTCTTTGAGAACATGAAAATGGGTCCCTGTAAAATAATTAGGTCCTGTTAGAAAACAGATGTTTAAGTCTCGTAAGAAGTGGACATGTATACATACTGACACTTTTAATCATGGTGTTTCCTACTTAATCGAAGCCAGTTTCTCGCCTCTTGAGCAGAAACTACATGTGTGGAATGAATAAAATTGGAGTAAATTTGCCATTTTCAGAAATTGCAATTGCATGAAATACTGTGATTTTGTTTGTTAAACACAAATAAAATTTAATCCTAAATTTATAATAGTGTGCTTCTATTTACTTTATTGTTTTGCTACATAGACATTTAATGTTTTTTCTTTTTTTGCAAAAGAAATATGTTTCTTGGGAATTTAATAAAATGGAGTTTCTTTTGCTTTTGTTTTTTCCTTTCAAGGGAAATATCAGTCGTCAGGAGGCTGTTAGTATGATCCCACCTCTGCTGCTTAATGTAAACCCTCATCATAAGGTAACTCTAGAATATACTGTGTATTAGAGTTTTTTCCTGAAAGTTAGTCTGATTACAAATTACAACAGCAGTGTCAATGCTGATACACAAAATCATGTTTCATGTTGCTATGTTTTATGCTTTGTGTATGTAAACCACAGCATCAGCTAGTGTTCAGATTACAATACAGTGCCAGGGGAATATCTGCCTTTTCAGCTTTATGTAATATCCTGTAAAAAAACCAGTTAGTTTTTAAGTAGTTCCATACTAAAGTATGTAATGTGTAGATGTATTTAGCTACATCTCAGTTACATATTCGTGTTTCAAGCCCCTTTTAAAATAAGGTGACTGTTTTTAACTTCCTGCTACCCATTACACTGAGAACTTTTCCAGATATGAATGATAATGTTCTTTAACCAGGTATTTCCACCCCTCTCTGCCTTTTGTAGAAGTTGCAAACTTCTGCTTTATAAGTCTGCTAGGCAAAATAATTACGGTGAGCTGAAACATGCTGTTGACAGCAGGTAAGGAGTATAGATTGCAAATGTTAACTGAGGTGCTTAAGGAATGCCTGTGATATTGTTGAATGGCAGATTGTAGGAACAGGGATATCTGGTTGCAAACTTCCAGTTCTAACCTTAGTGATGTTTTCATACACTACGTTTGTTTGCGTAATGTATCTGTCAGGTGTCCTCATTCTCTTAATCTGTTTAATGAGCTATTTAGAAGTGCCTTGCTATCTCAAGCAACCATGTTGTGCACTTCTTTCTTGAATTTTTCATGACGTATCTTAAAATTTCAAGTTTTTCAAACTTCTGACTTAAATGTCATGTGTTTTAGAGACTCATTCATACATGCTTGTTTTTATATTAATGTTATTTAGTAGAAATAACTTTTCAGTTTTTCTCCTGCTCTCACCCCAATCCAATGCATGACCTGGGGCTGATGGCTATGCTATGTGGGGCAAGGTCTTCTCACCTCTCTTAAACAAATAAAGAATTGAGTGATAGGTTCAGCCCTAATATGTCACAGGTGCATTTTGCATTTTGTCTGGAGTTGAACAGGTAGCGAATGTCATCGACTTAATGTAAAACGCAAATAGTGAGAATATTTTTGCACACACCTTATTTATATTACGTATACTAGGATAGCAGTATGAGTTTTTCGCATTGAAAGTTTAACTTCAGTGACTATATTTCATGAACACTTTCCAGAAATGCCTGTAAGATTTCATACATTTCCTCATAAATCAGACTCAGAATAGTCTCTTTATCGTCTCTTGTGACAAGACAGCAAATAGGTGCTGTAGCACTGCCTTGGCTGCTGTCATTTAGGACTTTTTATGGTACTTAGTGCCTTATTTTCTGAGCTGCTTGTTATGACCAGAATTGCAGGTTACTTTTCATGCTTAAACAGCATGTTCTGTGCATCGTGGTCTTACGTGCTGATTCGTACCTTACAGAAGGATCAGCTTGAGGACTGTCAGACCTCTGTGTAGTTCTGTTCATTTTCAAACTATTTTTCACAATTCAGTTTTGCCTCACCGTGAGCTAGCTGGACAATTCTAGAGCACATTTAGGCTTGATTATTCTTCATTATCTTTTGTGTTATCTACAAAAGTAAGTAGAATTGTTACTTTAAGCAGCAGGTATGACACTGTTGTACTGAGTGGTTCATGATGCATTAATGCTGCTACACGGTGGCACGTACCACGTGCTCTCTGGAGCTCTCAGTAAATGCTTCTGGGGTCTGTCTGCCCATTTAGTCTTGTTCGTGCCAGCGGCTTGTGTTAGGATCAGAGCAGATTCGTCCGCGTCTTTTCTCCTGTTGCACGACTTCAGCTAACTTTTACTGGAGCTAAAGGTCCAGAAGGTAAATAGTCATGTGTTTCTGAAAATCTGTAACTAGACAAGAGGAAAGACTCTTAAGCTTCCTCACTTAAGAAAATAGTGTTAGCTCTCAAATGGTTTTCACTGAAAGTGACTCCATGAATGACGCCATCACAAGCCGAGTTTGTGATGAACCAGGAGAGAGAAATATGCTAGAAATCAGGTGCTGGTACCTGTGCTGCTCTGTTCTGCTGCCTGAGAGCAGTTGAAATACTTCCCAAGTGCTTCTTCCAGGATATAGAAACAAACAGTTTATGCTGCCCTGATTTTTTGCATGAAAATGCAAATGTGTGGGGAGGGATAGCAGTTCATTTTTTTTAAATCTATATAATCAACTGTGTTGGATAGTCTCTAATTTACTAATAGTTAAAGAAAAGCACTACTTGCTCTTGAACATAACTTTGCCCTTAATGTTTATGCGTATGTAAAGTTCCAGTTAACTTCAGTCAGAATTGCTTGTGAGCTGATAGAAGGACCATATCCCCATATCTATATTCAGATTCCTCTTTCGGATTTATTTCAGCTGATGTATTCCTTCCCTACAAACCAAAATGCTTTCTGAATTTTAGACACTGAGAGATAAACCTCCATTCTGTGATAGATACAAAGAACAGATTTGTACATTTGTCATTTTGCAAATCGGTGTCCTGAACAACCATAATTCTGCAACTGTGTGCAAAAATATTTAATTTAAACAAGAACACATAGTAAATTTCTCAAGTACTTAAAAATACAAGCCAGGACTGTTTTTTTAAACTTTCTGGTATTTGTAGATTCTAGATATGTGTGCTGCACCTGGATCTAAGACTGCACAACTCATTGAAATGTTGCACGCGGACATGAATGTTCCTTTTCCCAGTAAGTATGGAAAAACTACCAAAAACTTTTTGACTTTGAATTCCCGCTTTTTCTGGTAGAAGATTATTTTTAATATCACAGATAAGTAGCTGCATTTAACTACATATTGAATTCCCGAAGTGTTTGAGTGATATGAGATGGGAAGTACCTTTTCCTTGAAACTTTGTGGGCTTCCTTGGCTTTAATGAGAGAGATGGATGCAACAGATATATACATCTTTCCAATTCAGACTACAGTAGATGTAATTAGAGCTTAATTTTTGTATATGAATCAGGTTTACTTAGTAGATGTGGCCCATGAGCCCCTGTGTTTTAGTGGTATGCTGCAAAAACTGGATTAAGCTGCTTTAGATTTAAAACGGTCATGATATTTATTTTTTTTTTTTTTCTTAAGCTTCAAAATCTTTTCAGTTAGATGCTTACAGAAAATACTGCCTGTAGAAATGGTGAAGTTTGGGGCAGTGGATTCTTTCAATGTTCTGCTGAAAATCTGCTGATGTACAGAGATTGGTGGCAGTGGAGGTTTTCTCTGTTACTTTAAATTGAAAAGTTGAAGGGCCTTTTGTTGTGTCTTATTGCATAATAAGCAATCATAAGCAGTCTTTTAAGTAAAAATCTCTAGTGAAAGGTTTATACAGCTTTGAAGGTAAGGCACTAAACTATGTAAAAGTATTTAGCTGTTGAATAGTAAAGCATCTTCCCACTCTTTTATGTTCCCAGAGGGTTTTGTAATTGCTAATGATGTCGACA